ATTTTCAGCAGAAAATTGCTCAAACTTAGTCAGAATCATCTTGGGTAAATGAGAGTTTTACTTTGTAAAATTAGGATTCCTGCCCCATCCCCAGGGGCTAGGGCGGGGCCCCAAAGGGAACATTTACCAATATTTTCAAATTCTTATCCATTGATGACATGACAAGTATTGTATTTCACTTAGTTTACATGCTGATTTCCACATCACATCTAAACAATAAAATAAAGCTACCAGTGCCTATGATATAACTCAGGTGACCGCTAAGGCCCTTGGGCCTCTTGTTGTTATGACTGAGGGGTTTGACATGTAGTGTTCCTCAAATCCGTCGTGCTGGAATTTACTCAGTATTTGAAATGCGCTTGAATTTATATAGGTAACAATTAACATTTAAATATTAAGGCCACATGTCCAACAAGTGACAGGATCGGGCGACGATTTACAGGATCGGGCAGGATCGGACAGTTTTATGGTCTATTGTAGCGTTATTTTGATGTGTGCACAGCATGTATATGTAATTAACTTTTTTTCAAATGTATTTATTAGCTCACCTGGTCGCAGGTGAGCTTATGCCATACCGTGGCGGCCGTCCGTCCGTCAACAATTTCTTTAAACGACTTCTTCTTCTTAACCACTGATTGGAATTTAACTAAATTTTACTGGAAGCATCCCTAGGTGGTGGGGATTCAAAATTGTACAAATGGTGGGGCTGACCCCCCAGAGGGCTGAGGGGCAGGGCAAAAAGGGGGCAATTTGGCGAAACTGCTTTAAGCGACTTCTTCTCTGGAACTTAGTGATGGATATCAGCCATATTAGACTGGAAGCATCCCTAGGTTGTGGAGATTCAAAATTGTACAAATGGTTGGGCTGAGGGGCGGGGCCAAAAAGGGGTAATTTGGCTATATCTCGCAAACGACTTCTGTAGAACTATGCACTGGATATCGATCATATTTAATCAAAAGCATTCATGGGATGCAGGGATTCAAAATTGTACAAATGGTGGGGCTGACCTCCCAGGGGGCTGAGGGGCGGGGCCAA